TTAATGGGAAACAAAACCCACCAACCATCAAAGAAAGGATTGATACAATTGACTATGTTAAAACTTAAATTTCTGAATGACTTAAGACATTACAGTGAAGTTGAAAGGTTACAAACTGATGGGAGTAGTTACAATGCATGTAATCAGCAGAAATTAGAACCCATTCTATATAATCCTACAACCAACAAGAAAAAGACATAGACTCCAACAGGAAAAAAAAGATGAATACACGAACAAGCTTTTCACAGACAAGGAAGACCTGAATACCCAATAAACACGAAAATAAATTGAATCTCATTAGCACTCAGGGAAATGCATATTAAACTACGATACGTTTTGTGCCAATCAATCTGGCAAAAATTAAAAAGTTGGACTCTTTGAAGTGTTGATGAGGAAGTGGAACCACAGGGACTCATACGTTGCTGCTGGGAGTGAAAATTAGTGCTGTCTCACCAGAGAGCAGTTGGCAGCCCTGGCTGTGGGACTTGGCAGTAGTGCTCTCAGTGTGGAACCCGGGAGACTGTGTGTGCACAAGGAGACACGTCTGTGAGCGCTTCTGCTGAAGGAAGTGGAGAGACTTTTCATGTCCATCAACAGGAAACACGGTACATAATATATTCATACAAGCAACCAAATGACTAAAGTGCATAAATCCCAAACAGATGATGGTGAATAAGGAGTTGCAGAAGAGTCTGAGTAATATGACACCTTTTATGTGAGGTTTAGAAATGCTGGGACCAGCAGCTGGTGTAATGGCTTTGTCGCTGGACTCCCATGTAGTCGACTGCAGTTCGAGTCCTGGACCTGGTGGATTAAACCCATGCCGGGCGCGTGTGTGTGCATGTGTGCCCAAGATCCCGAGAGGAGAATGGAGGAAAAGGGATTGTGGCGTGGCCATCCCCCCGGGGGATGATTTCTCGCTTTCTGTCTCTCTCAGTCTTTCTGGCAGGCACACAAGCCCCATAGCAAAAACCTCTCCCGAAAAAAAAAGCTAATCAAGGGGCCAGCAGATGGCACAGAGGTTACATTACCGGACTCCTACATAGTTGCCTGCAGTTCAAGTCCTAGACCCAGTGGCATAAAACTTGAAAGGTTTGGAGAGGCTTAAACGCCATAAAACTCCACATTTGTATGTGTGCCCAGAATCCCAAGAGGAGAATGGAGGAGAAGTGTGGCCATCCCCCCCCGCCCCCGCCCGGGGAGTTATTTCTCACTTTCTCTCTCTCTGTTTCTCCAGCTAACTAATGCACCCTATAGCAAAAATCTTTTTTTTTTTTTTTTTTTTTTTGCTACAGGGCGCGTGCGCTCGCCAAACAGACAGAGAGAGACATAGAGACAGAAAGCGAGAAATCACCCCCCCAGGGGGGATGGCCATGCTGCAGTCCCTTCTCCTCCATTCTCCTCTCGGGATCTTGGGCACACACACACGCGCCTGGCATGAGTTTAAGCCACCGGGTCCAAGACGCGAACTGTGGTCCACTAAGTGGGAGTCAAGCGACATAGCCATTACACAAACTGCGCAAAAATCTCTCTTAATGAGAAAGAAATGCTGGGACCAGCAGTTGGTGTAATGGCTATGTCGCTTGACTCCCACTTAGTGGACCACAGTTCGCGTCTTGGACCCGGTGGCTTAAACTCATGCCAGGCGCGTGTGTGTGTGCCCAAGATCCCGAGAGGAGAATGGAGGAGAAGGGACTGTAGCATGGCCATCCCCCCTGGGGGGGTGATTTCTCGCTTTCTGTCTCTCTGTCTCTCTCTATTTTTCTGGTGAGTGCATATGCCTTATAGCAAAAACTTCTCTAAAAAATAAAAAGAGAGAGAAAGAAATCAATGTAATAGTATAATGTCGCATGCATACTCATACAGTGAGGCCAAAGCACACAAACATGGAGGAGACAAAGACACGTCACTTTCTGAAATGCAGTTAGATCCGGGGAGATAGCAGAAGAGGAGGGAGTTGAAAATGAAGAAGGCTTCACCTTCCTCTGTCTTCGAGAGCAAGATATTAAGGACTGTTCTATCTGGAAGATGGCCACACAAGGGTTTGCTATGTTATCTTCAGTTTCGTCTATGTGTTTGAAATGCTTCGTGCGTTCTTTTTTCATTAATTCTTTGGAGGGAAAAGGAAATGGCTCAATCTCCTTCTTAAAAATGGGCAGTAAATCAAAAAGCGTTTAAGCTAATTGATGTTTGTCACTGCATTCTGTATGGCAGTTCAGCGTGGCAGGTTGAAGCACAGGATTCTGGGCAGACTGTCAAATCCAGCTCTGCCGCTTCCTAAATGGGAGGCTCAGACAAGCCACAGAGTCCCTGCCTCGGTTACCTTCAGTGTGAAATGCGGCCGCTGCTGTAAATGATCTGGGACCTGCTTTCTAGAAGCTTGCGAGAACGTTTTGAATCACTGTGCATAAAGCACTTAGAAGAGCAAGCACTACGTAAGTGGATTCTATTATTATTATGCCTGAATACGATCTACCATTCAGAGAGGCACTGGTTATTTGTTAGATGCAAGAGAGAAAGGGAAAAGAAATGAGTAAGCTTTGTTGCCAAAAAAAAAAAAAAAAATCTTGTAAGTAGATGTTTTTATGGATGGCTGCTCTTCTGCAGTGAGACAAAAATATCTCTCAGATCTCCCAAATTAACCTGTTGAGTTGGAGATGATTCACCACCACCTCCCCACCCCCCGGGGACTTCAGAAGTATCTGCTTCTGGTAGCTCTGGTAACTAAAGGGATCAAACGTTCATTCACTTGTCAGAGCTGGCTGTAAAATCAATACGAAAGACAAAATCAATGTGTAACTCTGGAAATATATAGAATTCCCTCTGATGATGAAAGCTACATTTATCTTCAAGTTTTGATAAATACGTGGTACTGTTCTGTCACATCAGGCTGTCCATCCTATATTAAAAAAATAAATAATGAACTGTAATCCCCCGGCTAAATGAAGATTCAAATTGAGGCCCACTTATTGTTTTAAATAAATGAGAAATCAGGGTCATTAGGGAGCTCAGGGCAATTTTCTGAAGGCGGATGCAGGACAGCGGATACTGCAGGCCCTATCAGGTATCTGGTGCACTTGCGCCCTGCCAGCGGCGTGGCTTTGAGTGAATACTTAAACTTGCTCTGCCTCAGCTTCCTCGTCTGTAAAATGGGACTCAGTCCCTGTATTGCTGATCACTGAGGATTCACTGCATGGTATACTCTACCTCAGCTACATATGCTGTGCGTGGTATTCCCATCTTGGATGTTATCATTAATGGAGTCACAAACTACTCAATGTTGATGGGTGGTGGATTTGTGGGTCTAAGACAAGGTGAGGGGGTCAGCAGGTGGCATAGTGGTTAAGGCACTGGACTCCCACATGGTCGAACATGATTCGAGTCCCAGACCCAGCAGCTTGAAACTCATGCTGGGCACATGTGCATGCATGCCTAGAATCCTGAGAGGAGAATGGAGAAAAGATTGCAATGTGTCCATCCCCCCTGGGAGGGGGGTAATTTATCTCTTTCTGTCTCTCTGGTGAGTGTACGTGCACAAAATCTCTCTTAAAAAAGGGGGGGGGGAAGACCAGCGGTTGGTGTAATGGCTATGTCACTGGACTCTTCTGTAGTCGACAGTGGTTTGAGTCCGGAACCAGTGGCTTAAACTCACACTGGGTGCGTGTGTGTGCATGCCCAAGATCCCGAGAGGAGAATGGAGAGAGGATTGAGGCCCCCCTGGGGTGGAGGGGGGGGTGATTTCTCACTTTCTGTCTCTCTATCTGTCTCTGTCTTTCTGGCAAACACATGCGCCCTATAGCAAAAACCTCTCCAAAAAAAAAGGGTAAGAAAATGAGCTGAAAGGTTTTATAGCTGACCCTGCCAATCTCGCTCCCCTTCCTCTGCAACAGTATGTTATTTCAAGACCCAAGGATGGAAAAAGCTTGGTCTTCATCTTGCAGGTGATGAGATGCTGCTTTGCAAGTGTGATTATCTAACACGCACCACTGCCATGGTCTGAACCTGCTGTCCTGTAAGAAGCACTCCACTTGGACTGCCGCTGCTTTTACGTGTGTGTCCTTGCTCGGCACCCAGAGACATCCAACGTAGCTAGGAAACGTACCATGGCTAGTCCCCCAACGCACATGAATCCCCGTTTCCAGCCTCTGGATACATGAATCTCTAGGACCGAGCAGACACCAAGGACAGAGTCCGAACTCTACCCTGCCCCGGCCTGAGCCAAAGGCGATTTCCAGGGCACCCAAGCCAGGGCAGGGCCGCTGGCACATGGCGGGGTGGGGGTGGGGTGGGGGGGGCAAAGACTGGCAAGGTGCAGCACCCACTCCATATCACATTCGCTCGTCCCTGGTGAATCATCCCTTCCTCCTTCTGCATTCTACCTCAGCCCTGTGGCACCCAAGCCTGCCACTCCTTCTATACGCAAATTTCTTTTGTTTTTGTTTTTGTTTTTTGTATATCTGCCAGAGGGAGACAAAGAGAGGAAAAACGAGAAATCTCTAAATCAACCATGTTTTTGGTGGGAAGGAGGGGTCGTTTGTTGGTAGACCACAAAAGGGAGAACAAATGTCTTGAAAAGATAATAATAACGAGTAACAAGAATAGAGAATGTACTCGAGCCAACTAAACAGGTGTTTGCATTTTGAGGAGCCGATTTCTCTCTCAGGGTCCCCAGTTGGCTAATTATTTCAGGAAGATGGGTCTTTTCATCATCTCTTACTCACTGGAAAGGGACAAGGTGCAGTGGAGGGTGGGACGCTCGGGACAGGAGAGCTGGGGTTCGAGGTGCCCGACTAGAAGGGCTGACCCTGGTCCTGGGTCCGCATTCACCTCCCGGCGCCCCGGCCTCCTTGAGACGCCCACTCTAGTCCTGGTGCCTTCATGTCCCCACCCCACCCCGTCTCCCGAACTGGAAGAACATCGTCCTTGACTCCTCCCTGTCCCTCAGCAGTCATCCACGCTTCCTGTTACACTCTTCCTATCACCCAGAGGACACGCTCAAG